AGTTTTGTTTTTTTTTAATCTGCCGTCATCTTGATTATTTTAATGACACTACCAGCTTTAATGAATATTTATTCTAGTCTTCATCTGAATTAACAAGTTGTAACACTGAGTAGAGAAAGAAATTCACTATTTTTCATTTGTGGACAGTATCCTAAACTCACTGGCCAAAAGAATATAAAGGCAGCAAACTTTTGTCTTCTTATGAACTCTTAAACTGAGGAGCAGTTCCCTATGGTGACTGCTTTCATAAAACCTTGATCTTTAGCCAGTCCACATATACTGATCTATATTCAATTCACATTAGTGTACTTCTAAGAACCTGCATATCTTTTGGGCTGATCTGCTGAAACAATCTGGACTTTTTACTGAAAGGTGGATTTAGACAGTGGTGTTCTTAACAACGTCCTAGCTCATCAGCGCATGGAGGTCAGTGAAGAAAAAAAGAGTGAGTGAGACTCCTGGCCCCTGGGTGATGACAGCAAACAGGCCCTCAAACTTCATCCTGCTGGTGTGAGAAACAGACTCCAATAGACCTCTAATCCTTTGGACACACAAAAGCAGGCAAACACACAAGAGTTTCTGCTCCCTGCCCTTGTCCAGCAGCTGCTTCTTCAAGGACCAGTCAGGTACTGGGAGAGATTTCCCTAGAGCTACAAATGCATATGTGCATATATAAACAGAAAGTCCTCAAGGAGAAACTCTCCTTGGAGGAACAGGAGCCAAGAAGCTGAACCCTTTAATTCACCAGCCACCTACTTCTGTCTTCTCCATGCCTGGGAAGAGGCTGAGCATTCAAAGAGAAGGTGGGTTTAAAAGATGACATAAAAATCAAGTGTCTGTTGATGCAGATTGCTTGCTGAGCCTCTGAAGATGTGGAATGGATTCTCCAGATGGACAGTGCACAAGGCATCTGTTACAATGCAAACTTTGAAAAAAAATTCTCTAGCATTTTGATTCAGAAGCTTTCTCTTGTTTCTAAAGCTTCATATAATTATATCATTCCCTAATTGCTACTGAGAGAATGTGCTTTGAGTTGCAAACTGATGAGAAGAGCAATAATTAAGAGGGTATAGCAAGTACATCTGCCTTAAGCAAAAGTAATTTGCAATGCTGAATTAATGCATTCTTTGTCTATCAGTGATATTTGGTGCCACATTTGCTTCTGTTATTGTTTTGGGCATATTTATTTATTCTGACTGATTCTGTCTCCCCAGAGTGAGCTATTTCCCCAATCTCACTTTCTCTTTTATTTCCTGAATAAATGCAAAAATAAATATGCCAGGAGAATGCCTCTCTGTGATATCCTACACAAAATCAAAAGCCTTTATTTTATTGCTTTCTATTTCCCAGTAACTTATAAAACACATACTTGACAGTGCTGATTGTTGTCTGAGATGTAAATAATTTTTAAATTAATTTTTAAAGAAGCATTATTCTCCTCCTAATTTTATCCATTTCAAACTTGTTTTCCCCTATCAATTCAATAAGCTTGCTTATGATTCCAACAGGCATGATGATTATGAGATCAATTTAATTTTTGAGGGCATGATTTAGGTATTATTTTATCTAAATATGTCTCCTGAAGATGTTTCCACCTCACAGATTAGCAAAATTTAAATCTGCAACAGGATTTAGGTGTTGAACTGCAGATCATTACAATAATTTTGGTGTCCTACCACCATCCTGTTTCCCAGCTCAAGGCATGAAGTGAGCTGGGTTTTTAGAGATGACTCAAAGAAGCTGAAAGGGAGTGGAGACCCCTCTGCTTCCAGCCTGGGATACACACAGGCTGCTGGCACCGTGTTTCGCAGCGGGACTTAACTGAGTGTGGATTTAGACTGCATAAAGTTCTTCCTTCTCTTCTGGAGTCACATCTGGAAACCCTTTCCTGAATGAGGCACCTATATCAAGACAATCATTTCCTGAAAAATAAACACAGTAGGGAGTTTTTGGTTCCATTAAACCTGGCTGCCTGGTTAAGGCAGATCTGACTCCTTTAACTGCATGAAAAGATGCAGGTGATCTGTGTTTAACTGTGTCCTTGCATGCCCCATTCAGAACATACTTCTGCCTGTTGGGATAGTGCACTAGCCATCAGGGTATAGTAGATTTTGGGGAAAACAATCCTAGTTTAAAGCCTTTTTGTATAAACTACTTTCATATTCACTTGAAGGGAGGAGTAGGAGCTGGATTTCCCTGGTGAGTGATTTAACCACCAGGCATTCTAACTCCCTCTCTGGCCTAATGAATATTTCATATTTTATTCTGTGGAACAACATATTATGCAATCATTCAATTAAGCACTGTCTCATAATGCATATGCACAAGGTGTTATTCATGAATAACACCACTGAAGCTGAGAGGCTTGTTTTGTAAAATAAAAAATGCTGTTCTTCATTATTAAGCACTACGTCTTTATTGTTCTGTTGTTGAAAGCAGAGTTCATGTTTGGAAACATTGTATCAACCAGCCATTATTGAAAATATCACTAAATCCCAGTTTACTTCCAAACTAGAATGGAGAGGTTTGGAGAAAAAGGAAAATTGTTGTTCTTCATCACCTGAAGCATCTCCACCTCTCTTTAAACATACAGTCAGCTTCAAGGAGAGAGAAGACAAGAACTGGAGTCCAAAGAGCAGAAATACCAAATGTTTGGGTATAGGAACCCAACTGGGAGGCAGGGATTACAGAAATGAGTGAGGAAAAGGAGAACAAAGAAGAACAGAAATTTCAGGGGTAAGAGACCATTGTCTGACAAATACCCTTTCCCCCCTCCCAATCTGAATAAAGAGAATTGATGCCATTGACTCATCCTCAGGGAATAAACAAAAGGGGAAGATGAGAAAATTTACTTGCCCCATAAAATACCAACCTATGTTAGATGGCTGTTATGGCAAAGAATATTGCTTATCTGGCAAAACCATTTGCTGTTTTTCATTTACTTAACTTGCCCTGCTTCACAAGAGGACAGATCAAGACTGAAGAGGCCTAAGAAAAGGAAACTACTTGCCTTTACAAGTGACAGAAACAGAAGATTTTGAGATCCTGAATTAAATAATCATGCTAGAAAATTTTTAATTTTGCATAAAGCTTAGACAATATTTTTTAAAACACATTTAGTGCCATCTACAAAGATGTTAACCAGGCTTTTAACAGTATTCTAAAATGGATTGAAATGCACTGGAATCTGTCACAGGATGGGTATGCTGGGGTGGCTGCAGGGTTGTATGCTGGACATACCTTCTGGACTTCCTAAATGCCCCCAGTGCTCATGGATCTTGCTGGACAGAAGTGGCACAAGGGTAGGTAGTCAGCCCTTGTGAGCCTGCCACATGAAAAATGTCAGATGTGAGTTGGGCTAAGAAGCCATATTAGAGTTTGATTTGTAGTTAAGGGAGAGGCAAGGGGAAAGGAGACAGTGACGGGGACAGTAAGTGGGATCAATCTGTCCTTTATCTCCTTAGGTAAGGTAGCATAAGGTCATGCATAAATATTTGTTGCCACTGACAGGGCAATTAAGGGGCCTGATTCCCCATTACAGGAGCTCTTACACTTCAGGAGTGGGATTTGTGCATACAGGAACTCAAGAGCTATGTTTATGTGTTTTCTATAACTCTTTTGTTTAGAAGATAATTAAGTCTTTAAATTTTCAAATAAAGACATACGTTTATATGCAATTTTGACCTTGTAGAAAATAGAAAAATTGTGATAGTAACATCAGTCAATTGTAATCATAAGTGTTTATCATTCAGCACCACTATGAAGAGACAGGGTAGTCAAATGTTTATAAACTCAGCCATGGTTGCAAAAAGATACAAGAATCTGATTTTAAAGTCAGTTTTCTCCGTATTTTAGTTGTATGGTATTACTAAATGCTGGCATGAAATCAAGATCCCTGCTTTTTCCACTCTCATTCCTATACTGCCCACTTTAAGTCATACTAATTTGCTTTTTCAAGTTTTAAAGTACTCTAACCTTTTGTTGTCCTCTTTCAAAAATAGTCTGCTATAAAAAGTTCATATTGATCCTCTGCATTAATCCTTGATGAGAACTCCTGCATTGAGCTAGTTTGGCCAAATTTCCTTTCCAAATTAAGTTACTCAAGGTCAAAACTGCTCCTGCTCCAGCTATTCTCTTCAAGCACAATGTACAAAACTACACTTTCAGACTTGTGAACTTGGACTAGAAGCATTGCTACAAGTCCCTGTCATTTTGCATTTCAGTTTTTCATAAAAGTTATGCACTTCAGCAACAGAGAACTAAAAACCCCACAACTCTCTAAAAAGAATGAAATACCCCATGACTGTATTACATCAGTCAGCACTTCCTGAAAGTTTCAGAGAATATATTATCTTTTGAGATAGTATTGCAGTGAACACATGATAAGCTTGAAAAATTGGTGATATTATCAGTGACCATATAGAATCCAGAAACACATTTTAGATTGTATTCAAGAGCATCACAAGTTTTGCTGTAAACTTAAAATGGAATGCAATTCATAGAGTTCAATTAGAGTACTTCAGAAAGTGACCAAAACTGAAAAATCCACAGTGCCTTGACTAATTTAGTAAATTTTTATGGCTGCAGCTGTAGGCACTTCATGCCGGTAAGATTTAGTGCTAAGTTTATCAAGTCAAAGGAAACCTTTTCTTCACTGCATTGATTAGAACCTTTCTCTCTAATTATTCAGTAGTCAAGCCTCACACCATCAAGCCTCACACCATTCTGCACCGTATTTCTGGGAGGCATCACTATTTCCTGAGTGATGCTTTCTCAAGGAGATTCTTTTCACTTTCGTAGTGCAAGGTCTGTGGGTATCAGAGCAAGGCTGAACAATCCACAAAGTAACGGAGTAACAAGTAGTTTGGCATTGAAATTATATTTAGGAGAGTAATTTAAGAATGTGATTTTGCATAAATTAGCATTTAAGTTCAGCTAAGCCCTTTAAAATTCTCACAGGCTGTGGGCCCTTTGTTTCTTAATTATGTTCACAAAAGTATTCTGGCTATAAGAATAAAATGAGAATCAGACATTCAGAAAGAGTGAGGATTATAATCTCCTTTCAGCACATATATTTACAAGCACCAATCTTCACTCTTTTTTCCTCCTAAAAATGAGTTAATTTACAATTAATAATTTACTACTAGCCTTACTGTGTGTTTAATTGTAAATATTTTATACCATCCTTTTAATGGAAATTTTTTCTTGAGCTTATTTTAATGCGATTTTGTCCTACATTATGAGATGGACAAATAAGTAATTTTGGCTGTTCCTTTGTTAATTTTGCAGTAAAACTCTGGTTTTTATTGACATATTGAATCACATTAGAACTGAAACTTTTTCTGCTTTTAGGGGGGGATAAAAAACCCTTAGTCAGTATTTTCAATAAATTTAATTTCCAAATATCTTAGAAATAGTCTGACTGTTCCATCTTTCTTTTGTGCTAGAATAGGAAAAAAACCCCTCTTCTCTTTGTATCTCATCCTGTCACCACCACTAGTTGAGGTTAACATATTGTCTGTCTACTTTTAATAGAAACATTCCTCATGTATTCTAACAAATCACGTATATCTGAATTCTACATACAAAGCTGTAATTCCATTGAGAGTTTGCAGTGACATTGATAAATGATGTCACCAGAACCCTTTGCTTGAATTACAATCTTAATTATGTACACCTGGGTTCTTAGTATTCCTTATATTATTTCTGTCACAGCACTATCTTGTCCTATTCTTACTCTGATGCTAATTTGTTTTATCAGTAGCCAAAGCACTGCAGCTTAGCAACGCCTGGCCACAGTGATTAAATGACTGTAAATTTCTTCCTTGTTACTACTGTTTTAAAAACTGAGTGCAGCACTAAACAACAAAGTCAATTTTTGCATGAAGATGATGCAGGTTATATGTAAAGTTTTTGGGAGTTGTTTTTGTTTTCCACAGAGTTCTCTTATTAGGACTATCCAGCATTTCTGAGTGCTTCTAGTTGTTTCATGTCTCCTGAGAAAAGAAGAGCAAAAAGGTTTGGTTACTCAGTTATTTTTGTGGGAGAGGAATTCCCATATGGTTGAAGGTGGGAAACACTGCGTATCGTAAGCCTGAAAATGAGAAATACAAGTTTCTTCTAGTTCTCATTCTCTTGGGTTTTTTTCTATATTCACCTTGTGAACCTAACCAGGATTACTTTTGTCACAGAAAATATGGCTTTGAGTAAATGTATGGCCAATGGAATCCCTTTAAAAATGATCAATCAGGCTGTGGCTTGCTTTGCTCCGGAAGCCCCTTGAAGAGACTGGCTTACAATAAAGGTGATTAAAAGTTCCCAAATCCAATTTATCCTCCTAACATTTAAAAAATATGAAGAAAGCATAGAGTTCCAGGATATAACTTGCATCTGCTCATTATGTTTATTTAACTTGAACAATGTATGTCCTATCTTGCACAACACTCACAGTCACACATTTGCAAAAAGTTCAGAGCTAAATGCTAGCACATTACTTTTGAACTTAGTCAGACAAATGTATTCATGATCTGGGTCAGAACTGAAAAAGGACTTGGGAGATTTTGGTTCTTATTCCTTTTATTCTGTTCTCCTCCTTCTTTCATTCCTTCTTTTTTTTTGTTTTGTTTTGGTTTTTTTGTTTTGTTTTGTTTTTTTTTTTTTTTCTCTAAGTTTTCTCTTACTTCTGTAAAACAATCTGAATTGCACCCTCTAGAAAAATGTACATTTCTGCTTCCTACATGGCCAGACTGGCTGGGACTGAATGTTAACACTTGTCTTCCCCCCATCACTACAAATCACACATTCTTTTTTCTTTCTGTAACAGCAATCTGCAAAAGCCTGAAACAATAGGAATCAAAATGCTCTGAATTTTGGATGACTCTTTACTGTAATATCAGGAGAAAAACTTATAAATAAAAAGTATTTGGGACAGAAATCTGGACAACACTATCATAAATATAATCCTCGTAGCAAAATAGTTTTAAGCAAATATTTACTTACCTTTTAATTTAGTCAGGACGACTAGTGTATTTATGGCAGATATTTACTTCCATATGAACAATCCTACATACTCTCAAGCCTACACTAAAAAACCGATTAGTTCTTGTCTCAACCCTCTGCCACTGACAATTTTTACTTAGATTATTTTTCTTGCCAGTTGTTACATTCATCTTTATGGTCTCAGTTCTTTTTTATGAGATTAATAGGTCCAAATGAGCCTTTGAACTTTTCCCACACTGTTTCTTTAGCATTAGGTCTGTTCTGATGGCTCTTCCTGTCCCAGAAGTACACAAGTTCCTTCAGAAAACATTCAGTCACTCTTCCGTTCCCTGGAGAGACTGTAACTTTTATGGTTCCACAGCCTCTAAAATGCTAATTAGACCCTCATCAACCCATGAGTTTTAATTCTGTACTTTGTAAATTTCTCAGTTAATCCAGCCTCTGTCACTAATCATGACCTTCTAGAAAGTGCACAAGCCACCACAACAATGAAGAATACTGAAAACTCTTGGAAGCTGGCTCAAAAGCCAGTACTGCCAGGTCAGAGAAAATCTAAGCCCGCCTTTGCTTTGCTAATCCTTTAAACACTTGGATCAGTTTTCAATAATCTTTTTCACACTTTGTAGGGATCTGCTTTTCAGGTCTTGGCATCTGAAGCCTGCTTTGGCTTCAGCTGAGGTTTGAATTGCATGTTAGTTGTTTTAAATATCCCATAACACACCAGTTTCCCATTCTGGTCTCCCTTACAATTTTGAGAATGTATAAAAGCCCCCTTTTTTTTTTTTTTTTTGTGCAGCAGAACATCTGATGAGTATTTTTTCCTCCTTGGTTGATATATATGCATGTGCACACACATGAAAATTTGTGTAGATGCTCTTAGTGAATAATCTTTTTTTACTGTCATTCCAAGGTCTGAGTCATGCAAGTTATTGCCTAAAACTTGGAGCCCACTCTGAAAAAAGTGACTCAAATAAATAACAAGATGAAGCACAGATACTGTTAGAAACTGCTGGCAATATTTGAAAAAGGTAAGCTCTTCCTGGTTTACTAGTTTTACTTTGGTCTTTCTGTGATCCTCAGTAAAAGAAATTGAGAAACTAGGGGGAAAATTTTTGCTGGAAACTTAATATACATGGCCTACTAGGCAGAGTTTAATCCACATAAGGTTCCTTAAAAAGCAGTGAGCCAATAAACCTAAGTTAAATATTTGGAGTTCAGACACGTAAAGCTCCATTGAATTAGAAGTTTTACAGAATCTCAGTGCTAACATACATTTCCACACCTGGTAAAAATTCATGTGTAAAACTGACTCATGTTAGAGAGAAGAAGCAGGGAAACAGATTCCTGTGGCCGGGATCCGGCTCTGTAATTTTCCTATTAATTTGTGTTTGTGGAGATGGAAAAAGTTTCTATGTAACTAGAGAACCTAATGGGACAACTTCCTTATTATTTTAAAATTAGCTTTGTCATTGTTGAGTAGTGCTTAGGGGTAGTTCACATAGAATAGGTATGGCCTGGAACAGAAGTAAATAGAACTGTCCCTGAGCTGCTTATTTTAATAATTTAAATGGGAGTTAAATCTCAGGCTGTGTTTTTCCTCAAAGACTGTGAGTTAAGACCAACAAAAGCAGGCACATGGACTTGTATGGCTTGATTTCTTTCTGTTTATTGTGAGCCATTAACTGATTTTTCTTTTTTAGCTCAGTTTCAAGCCTATTTGCAAGTGGGATCCAAACAAAGGTATAGAACTGACCAAGACTTCACTGCATATTCTTAAAGTCACTTAGCTTGGAAAGAGTTCATTTTTTCCACTGTATCTCTTCTTTCTGTTTTGTTTCCTTCCTTCTTTCAGCTGTCTCCCAATGTTAGAGTGGACTCTTCCTTACACAACAGATTTATTTTTATTCCAGTGTTGAATGGGATCCTAATTAGATAAGGGTCCCTTTAGTGTTCTAGTACTGCAAAACTTTAATAACAGCAACAGCTGATCTTGCAATCAAGCACTTATGACCTGTTCTTGGACATGAGATGTACATAAATTCCACTGAATTTAAGAGTTTTAATTTGTCCATGCTGTTCTCAGGAGGGTTGGAACTAAATAATCTTTAAGGTCCCTTCCAACCCAAACCATTCTATAATTCTAGGAATGCTGATACAGATGTATACATGAAGAACTAAATCAGATTTTTTACATTTTGTCTCAAATAGTTTGCTTCAAAATTTTTCAAGTTCATCAATGAGTTTTTTGGGGTTGGGGGGACGAAATCTCAAAAGCTAATACTTTTAATATTTTTTTAGTAAGCTCTCTATATACACTGACTAAAAAAACAAAGAAAACAAAAATCCACAAAACTCTACATCAGTCAGCATCTTGGATGACAGGTTTTTTTAATCTCTCTCTGAGATTCTAAAATAAAACAGTAGGATACAAAGAATACATTGGTGAGTGGCCCATGCCCTGACCATATCTGGGATGCAGTTATCAGTCAAAGCTGAGCCACTCTCAGTCATACTGGGTGGCTGCTGCCTCCTCACTCTTCTATCTGCATTTCCTAGTGGGAAGAAAATTATTTCTATCCTTCCTGGTGCACTCAAGTTGAAGGAATGGGAAATGTACTGCAAGCAAATGTCTTACAAAAATGGAGAGACAATGCCATAATACTCTTCTTTTCCCAGAAGTCATGTGTTTGCCATTTTCTCCAATTAGTGCGCAGAACTTCTTTCCTCCACATTCTTCCTCCTACTCATTACAATTTCCCCACCTTTGTGAGTCCCAAAACCAGAGGCCCTATCATTAATCTTCTTTCCCAAAGTGTTTAGGTCCATGAGATCTGGCTTTAATTACCAGCCATGAGAAGAACTAATTACCCTGGCCTAACAAAGACAGGATGACGGAAGGGGGGTGGTGTTATGAGAATCTGACAGTGCACATCTTGGCATATTAGATATTCCCATTGCTGCTTCTCTGTCACTTGAAAAGAGAGATAAAAAGACAAGTATGCAGGAGTTACTCCAAGTTTACAAATGCCTCCAGAGATACCTCCGTGGGAATTTAAGTTTGCCTTGTGGGAGTACTTGTAGAGTGCAGAGAAAACAGATAGCACTTCCAACAGTGAATGCATAATCATAATGAGCTGACCAGTGACTCAAAGCTGAGCTATGAAAGCCTAAAATAAGCATTACAAATGTGGGAGTCTATAATTCTCAATCAAGGGACAAAATGTTTCACTGCTTTAAATGTAAATAAGTTACTTATCCTTCTGTCAGCTGAGGTTGGATGTGACCACATCACTTCTGAAAAATTCTCATTTTCTATAGAATTGGGTTACTTCATAATACATTTAATATCTCAAAAACACTCTTTTTTTAAAAAATAATCTTATTTAGCAAGGAAGACTGGAACACTGACTTACAAATAAACACTTTACATTGAACAAAGCTACAGCTTGTTGAAGTTAAAGCACTTCAATATTTCAGTCAATAAAACCTGTTGTTTCTCTGATCCTTCTATGTGCATAAATGAATTGACTGGGTGATTTAAAGTATAAAGTGTAACACAGGAATAGCATTTAAAGGGAAGGATGTGTATGGCAAATTTATGTTACTTAGTAACTGGGACAATAACATTAAAAATTATAAGTGAAATGGGAGCCATTCCAGGAAAAACACATAATGTCGAGCTTGCAACTAAAGCATCTTGCAGAAGGCTTGAAAAGGCAAAAAAGGTTGCAAATTCTCTGGAGAATCTGGCATTCAGCTATTGGTTTTGGTAGTTATTGGGGTTTTGGTTGTGTTTGTTTAATTGATTGATTTTATTATTGTTGTTTTGTTCATTTTTTTTTTCTTTTTTTCCTGACTGAGAACTGTGGCATAACGCATCTGGCACAGATGGAATGGAGTTTGTGCCCAGCAAGTCATCAGCTGTGCTTCATCTTTCCTTGCCCTCATAGCCTGGGCCGCTTCCTCCTCTACTCTGTTCCCAACATACTCAGCAGTTCTTCCTTAACTGGCAAATCTGTGTCAGGGATATTACTGATTATTACTGATGCTTGGAAGATACCACATTGACAGCCCATGCTGCTTTGCTATTTTAATGCATCTGAAGTTGTCCGAAACCTGGTGTTAGCCGGGCTTCCAAAAGCAACGTTTCTGTGCTAATGTGCTGCTCTGCCTGGTTTAAAAGATGCCTCTTCCTGCCTGGTTTTAATGTTTTCTACTGAAAAACAGTGGCTCTTTTATTGCCCAGATTGGTATGCAGCAAGGCCTTTCCTCCAAAGTGCAAAGTCTGCAGAAGCAGCTCTGCTGTGCCACCACACCCAAACATTGGCTCACCTTAACTCAACTGCTACGTGGTTTGTGCTACATTATTAAATATTGCTAAGCTTTTAAATTTTATTTACTTCAGTAAGATTTTGGTCCATTTTCTATGATTCATGACTCAATCTGTGATGCAGAATTAATAATTTTTAATTGTCATAATAGCTGTGGCACCTATGTTATGAAAATTAGAAAAACAGTAGCCATCTGGTGAATATAATTGGGGTCTGAATTCTCTTTAAGTGATTCTGTTAGAAGGCCTACCCTTTGAGGGATGTTGTTCAGAGTTAGTAACATTTCGTCAGTTTGAAAGAGGTACGAGAGAGAATGCTATATAACAAAGTATCCTGTGGGGTTTTGACATAACATGAAAAAAGTTGCTTCATTCAAGTTCTTAGGGTAAATTTGTTTTGGGTTGTGTTTTTTAAATACACCTAAACTGCACAGATTGCATAGAGAAACTATTTTCAATTCTCTTGATGCCTCCAAACAGGCAAACTGTGTTGAAGAGCTGTTGTGTCAATGGTTTATGTTGCAGCTGACTCATCATGACTTTCATGCACACATAAAGGTAAACAGAAAAATTTTTGTTAATTTGCTGAGTGCTGTGCAATCCTTCATGTATCTGAAGCGATCATCCATCTGAAGTTGTCTACAATAAATATATAAAATAAAAATGCTTTAAGTAACACATTATCTTTTCCAAGTCTCATCAACAATGAATGCTGCAAGTATTTGTATATTCAGGTTGCTTCTCAAATTTGTGTGACAGACCAGAAGCAAAATACTCCACCATGAATGGCCTGTAAGACATCTGGGGCAGTAAGTGATGCAGACTGTGCAATGGCAGAAAGGAATGCACGTTTCTGAGCTCAGCTCACTTTGGCTATAGGCAAGCATTTATTTTCTGCATTATATGAAAGACTCAAAGAAGTTTTATGGTCTGTGTAATGCAGAAAGCAAACCTCTCTGGTCATAATTGTCTATGAATTCCAGACTAGGGATTCCCAGTCCACAAATCCCAGCTAATCTATTTTTTTCCTCTTATTTTCATGGGACCAATGGTCACAGGGAGTTGGGAGTCTCACACAGGCAATAATTTCTTCACTTCCTGTGCTTGAAGTCTAGTGAGGTGTGAAAGATCAACCTGTCCTGACAGACCAACTAGACCAACATGAGGAATATGTGTGTCTGAGTGTCATGGAGGAAGAGGGAAGGAAGTGGTGGAAGTGGCGGAAGTGGCGGAAGTGGC